TTTCGCTTTGTCGTTCGCCCATAAAAGTCGTGAATCGCTTTTTCTTGCCTCAGCATTTCAGAGGTATCTGATAAAAACATTAACTACTGTATTGTAGGGGCTGGTATGGCAGTACGGGCGTTAGCGTGCTACGCCACAAACCGGGCGACCTGGGTTTGATTCCTGGCCATGGCTAACGAAAATCAGCGGCAAGTAATATCAGAACGGGTTCCAGTCATCCCACAGTCACGCACAATCCTCCCACACTCACCAGAATGATAAAGTATAGTAAAAAAAAAACTCCCATGACCGACAGGAATTGGGAAGACCTTCACCAATTGGTGGATTGAGAATGGCAGGAATTTATATATATATTTTGCAGGGTAAAGGGATGTGGTGGGCAGCTCGAGGCCAGCACAGCAACATTCATTGTTACACTGTACTTCTATGCTACCGACATTTACCAATTAACCCACAATACGCACAGTGTGGCGAGACTCATCAGCCGTGCATTGACAAAAGGGCCGTACTGGTAAATTGTAGGAAAATCAAAAAAATTAGTTTCATCTAAAGTCATCAAATCTTAATTCAAATGTAAACAGCGTTATAAAGACTAATTCAAAACACGAAAGAATTACGGCATATTCTGGATATGTTACATGGCAAGGGACCGCATTTCCGCTGTGCAACAGACACAAATCTCATCTCGGAAGAGAAACTGCGGGAAAATAATCGTCAAAATTGAGGTCTCGGTGACGTCTGGTCATGTCAACAGGCGTCGCGCCTGTGTTTGGTTAAAACATACAGAATTCACAAACGTATATCCCTCGCACTACAAATCTTGTTGACCTACAGTCAAAGATTTTGTCTGGCGGGGGGCCATGCAGTACTGAATTATTACAAATATACTGCTTAGGAATTCATAATACATTAGCACGGGACGATCAGGTTACAGGCACCGCGATGATTTAAGCCACCAATTTCCCAGTTCAGTTTTTACCCCCAAGCCCAGCGCAAAGCAAAATTTACAGCAAAGATCTGTAAGCGATTGCAAAGTTTGCCAACTTTTTATTGTTTCTTTTCTGCAACCTTAAACCAATTTGATAAATTTGTTTTAAAACATTTTTTCCCCTTCTGCGGCTTGTAACTAATGGCTTGCCAACATTCCAAAGTGCAGCTTAATGTACAGAAGCTTACGCTAAAATAATACAGATAAATAATAACGGGCCGAATTGAATTAATCAAGGCTAATTAGCCAGAAGCTTGTTCGTAAGTGATGCAAATATGAGTAAATCAAAGGAACGCTGATATTTATAAACGAACATAGTGATAGGTTATTAATCAAAGAGCTCAGATTTGTCAAATTAAAGTTTAATGTATGTGTATTTAGGTATCATGGCGATGAAATTACAGTTCAGAATGTTTCCTGAATGTTTGTGTCACGTCATATGTAAAGTTTATATTTGGAAACAAAGTAAATTTGATGACATTACCTAATACATCAAAATATGTACGATATACTATATTTTTTATTGGTTTTAGAAACAGAGCAAATGTTCCATCTGTGGCCCTTAAGAGTTCAATCATTAATCAGTGTAATTTCATCATCATAATCATCACCATGGGCAAACCAAAATCTATCCACTGCTGGATGAATGTCTCCCCAAGCTGTCACCATCTCCCGAGGTTTCACCATGACATTGTCATTAAGAGCACTATCAGCAAAACAGCAGTACACTATCAGATAAGACGATCCCTAGGCCAGCACTTCCCACGATTTCTGGACCCATGGACCACTGTCAACACTCAAAACATATTTCACGAACCACTGCGCCATAAAAAAAAATCTGGTGTTTTATTTAAAAAAATCAAACGTAATCTGTAACAGCTCCGCGGATCACTTCCCACGGTCCTAGCGTACCACCACCAGCAGTACAACCGTGGACGAGAGATTGAAGACCACTCTGCTCTAGAATACGGAGAGCGACTTCCACGGCGATTGGTGGGCAAGTTACGAGGGCTTCTGCTATAAATGTGCGAGTCAGAAAGACAGCAAGACTCAATAACATTTCCTAGAGAACTCTAAATCCTCCCATGACCGTGCCGAGAAACAAAAACTATAGAGCCAACAACAACAACAACCACAGACGAAGCTCAAGTCAAAACAGAGTTAAGATTAAACACGCCGGCAATCTGCTTGCTCTGTGCCAGCGTGGGTTGCGTTTCAGAATGTACGCTGGCATGCTTTCGTCAATAACAAACACAACACTAGGCTTAAGGAGGATGTTACTTCGGATGAATATTGATAGCGCTGCTAATATACTGTATGTTACATAATGAACTACAACCTAAACTATCACGGGAATGCTAACCATGAGCAGGCATTCATTCTGGTGGCGTGGCCTGGACAGAGATGAAATAACCAATAAGTCGACGGAGACAGGGGGAATTAAAAAGATAAACAGATGGAGCGAGGCGCCTCAGCCGGCTGATCTTCTGCACAGCCATGTGGATCATTGTTCTTCTTTCCTAAAGATCCTCAAACTCCGCTTCTCGCATCTCAACTCACTCGAATAACGTACGGGTAAAATTTAATATACCGTATGTACCTGAGTGATTACAAAGGGCACAAAAATACAGTAAAATGTTGATTGCGAGTAACTTGGTCTGCGAGTGTTTTGCAAGACGAGCAAATTTTTGCAAATAAATATTAATTTGATAAACGAGCGAGGTCTTGCAATACGAGTAGTACGTACACGCTTTGTCTGCCGAGCGTCACGTGATCACAACTGATATATGAGTGCTTTGATATACGAGTGTGCTTTGGATTACAAACACGTTTCCGGAACGAATTATGCTCGCAATCCAAGGTTTTACTGTACAGTACTCTAAACGGATGGAGTTTAAGAATCTGTCACCGTGACAACGTCCACTCTGTGATAAAAAGAAAACGAAAGTTCTTTCCCACTCAAATCTACATGGGGTGGCACTCAGCGTCTGTTTACCATGAGCCAAGAGTTGTAAATGCCATACTCCTATAGAAGGGCCCCAGTGAGTAAATAGACATCCACTTATATTCTTAGCTCTTTCGGTAAAGTCACGTTGAAGGGAAACAATAAAATAATAAAATATATATAAAACAATACAAAATTCTCACGACGTTTCGACCATAACACAAACGGTCGTCATCAGGTGTGTCGGTTTGCATTAAATTATTTATTTTGTAAAGGCGCATTTATTTATTTAAAAAAACGTCAGCACCACGCGCAGCGATTTGGCAGTTTATTTAGAAGGACTAGTCCATCTATGATCTGAAAAGAGGAGAGACAGCATACATTAATTTTTCGTCTCCCCCCTCCTCTTTTCAGAACATAGATGGACTAGTCCTTCTAAATAAACTGCCAAATCGCTGCGCGTGGCGTTGACGTTTTTTTTATAAATAAATACACCATTTAAAAATAAATCATTTAATGCAAACCGACACACCTGATGACGACCGTTTGTGTTATGGTCGAAACGTCGTGAGAATTGTTATTGTTTAATATATATTTTATTGTTTCCCTTAAACGTGACTTTACCGAAAGAGCTAAGAATATGAATTACTGCAGTCACGAAAGCTTTAAATCAAAATTTAGACATCCACTGTTGACTTTCTTACAAGGTGGTACTCATTTGGAAGAGCCGCACAGGGAAGAAGGGTAGAGTCAACCCCCGACCGGGATTTGAACTTATAAATCTTATAGTTACGAGCCACGTGCTCTACCGCTGAGCCAGCCAGATCACACAAGGAACTGCCTGGAAAATAGGCGCAACATTGACACGGTGCCAGCGCACGGTGCGTGTGATGAACTCGGGTGCTGTCGTGACCCACGCAAATTCATAGCACAAACGAGGATCATAAGGAAGTTACGGAAACTGCGATGGGAGATTTTGCAGTAGCCTATACCACGGACTGTCACTGTAATATTCTATTTATTCTCCCCTGAAGAGTCTCTGCCCAACTAGTCTGGCTGCCAGAGGTTTACATGTGCCATCTACTTTCCCATGGCATTTGAAAAGCAAAGGATGATTCAAAAAAGCATAACAGTCATTGTTTGTGAGTTATTCTGAACTCCATTCAGCTTTCCAACAAACACCTTGTAAAAGACCCAACGCAGAAGAGTCTTGGTTTTGAACTTCTGCGAAGCTCATGGTCCACCTTAAATTGTATACGCACAAACCATGGCAGATACGGATACAATTTGGAAAATGAAAAAATCTCCATCATTCGACTGTGGTCATCCAGAACAGACCGCACAGCACATAATGACGCAATGCACGATCCACAAATATGAAGGAGACATTCCAACAATACAACTCCACTGCTTCTGACGCAGTTGTCTGGCTTAACCACCTGAATGTATGATTGAAGTTGTTGCTCTGCATCTACATCAGCTGTACGACAGAAGAAATAAGGTCGTTATTACTCAGGGCTCCAACGTAGGCCTTGGGCCGACTGCAGCTGGTCCAGAACGCGCCCGCCAGGATGTTCACGGGAACCTCACCCCACGAGCACATTGCCACCCCTATAGTACAATCTCTGCATTGGCTTCCAATTACATTTCGGAACTGCCAACTTCGCTGCTAACATACAAGGCCTTAAACGGCCTCACACCATTTTTACATTCAACAGCTGACAAACCTGCAACTTACTGTCGTGACCTCTCCGATCTGCCGATTTGCATCTGCTCCATGTGCCGAGAACTAGACTCTCCACTTGGGCTCACCGAACCTTTGCATGCGCTGCATCAAGACTACGGAATGCCCTCCCACAAGCGGTTAAGACAGGTGAGGTCACTCACCGTGTTTAGGTCTTCTCTAAAGACTCACCTGTTTCGCCTGGCCTACACTACCCATGTATGACCAGTGGGCGCGTACCGAGATCCCTGGATGAACTGCACCTTATAAACGTAAACTATAAATTTTTATTATCCCAGTGCATGCGGGGCGATGGGGCGTGGATCGCGCGGCTCATCGCTCACCGGAGCCCTGCAGGAGGAGCTCCTGGCCATGGCTGCCGAGCAGCGTGCGCGACAGGTACGGCGAGAAGTCGACGAAGATCTCGCGCAGCAGAGGCGCCGTCGACTCCAGGGCCCGTTCCAGGCGCTGGGTGATGCTGCCGAGACGGGGTGGGGGGGGGGGGGGCCAAGGAAGCAGCGACCGGTTTAAAGGGCGCGCGGCACTGCGGTGGTCGCGGAAACCACCGTCAAGTCACATACAAGATACGCACGTCCGCAGAGTTTTTGACGACCATCGGCAAGCGTGCTCGGCTCGCCCCGAGATCAGTCCGGGATCAACAACGTGGCTTGTGTATGGCGTCGCAAAGGACTTCGTCAACCACGAGACTGCCACGGACCTCAGCCCTTCCTGTTCCGTTCCCCCTATCGTCTGCGGCCAGTAAGAGGTGATTACAATACAAATTTGCTCAACTCCAGTGTTAATCAACTCTAGATTTAAGAGGATTGCCAACCATCAAATAGATGCAGTGTGCAGTGGATTAAATTTCACGTGAAGTGAAAAGATTGGTAGCTGCAGAATGGTGGACCGCGTTGGGTCACGAATAATGTAGTTGAGAAGCATTGTTTTAAACGACGTTCAAAGCATCGCTCGAGTTATGCTCGAACTTTGGGATCATCTGCCAAATTGACGTAAAAAATGTTACACTTATTAGACATGAGAAAATAATATAGTGGTATGCCAAACAGATTTCACCCCTTTTCACCAATATCCTATTTGATGAATGTTCTCTAATTGTGATATCTGTCGGGCACAGTCAGGGCATTCTACAGAATCTAACGCAGCACATCGTAACGCGTGAGGGTCAAATTAACCACGATCTATCACGCGCACATCACAATCATGCCAGTGTTTCACGCAATAGAAAGTACAACATTTACTTGTACTTCCAAAAAACTGTCCTAAATGTCCCATTCAGTCTCATCGTGTTTTTTTTCTTTTTGGTTTTTTCTTTCGTGGTCAGTTTTTTTTCAGTTTTTTTTTGTTTCCTTTGCTGAAAGACCGAAGCCGTTTAGCGAACACCACGACGGTTTCGCTGGCGAAGCAGCCGATTCTATCTTGAGTCGTTGAGCACGCTCTGGCCTTCGGGGCGAGCGGTAATTCATCAGCGCCGGGGCGGCCATCCCGTCCGCTCATTCACAAGCGCACAAGCCGCAGTGCTTGCGCCGCGACTCTAGCTCAAGTTTGAAACCAGGAAAACCCAGTGTCCCAACGGCAATTCCAGGGCCGCCCCCCCCCCCCCCACCTAGGGAGACCAGAGAAATCCCCCAATCGGGGCAGTGTGTGCGTCTGCGCGTCTGTGGGTGTGTGTGCGCGCTCCCGACTTAAGGCGGCGGCGCAGCTGAAGTTCGTCAAGATAGAGTGGGGGTGGCCCCCAGAGTGGTGGCCGTGAGGCTGCTGCATTAGGAACCGCGCTGAAACCGCCCTTAAGATTTCGGTTTGCTGAGCTGCGCCGGCCGCTTCAGCTGCTGTACTTTAGCGGCGATGACAACGCGCCGGCGTTTGTTTGTAAGAAATGGGCGTCAAAATAAAAAGAGGGGCCCGTTCTAACGATGAGCCCAGAAGCCGGCCGTTGCACACGAACACTTAGCGATGTGCGTTTCTCTCAGACACGAGCGCTGTTTTGATAAGCAGCGTTTAAAGTTAACGACAGACAAACACCAGTGACTCTTTATCGGTGCCAGTACTCATGTGAACAATCAGGATTGGGGCACGAAAAAATAAAACTTCTGTCCCATGCGTGAAAAACTCTCCACAAAAAAAATGGAAATAAATTATCTGGACTTATGAAAGCTCCAGCATTGGAAATGAAACATGCGCGCGCCTAAATAAACTTGCCCTTGATAAAGCATCCAAAGCAATTTCAGATTTATATCAAACGGGGTACAATTTTTGCTTTATTACTTTGTCACGGAACTTTAAAATAAATTAAATAATTACGCTACGGCAACGCATGAGAACCAACCCCTTGACGCAGGGCACCTGCCGATGGTGTCGGTGAGAGGCCGCCGCTTTGTGAACGCGAATGATTTATGCGCCACGAGATCCAATTTCTCTTACTTGTTGCCGTCTCTGGGTGCTGGCACCGAGGCCTTCCCGTCTGGCAGGGCCTGAACCATGGCCCCACCTGAGGACCCGGCTTCCTGAGACTTGTCACCTGAAAGTCCGCGGCCAAGAACAGGAAAAGGACATTTTAAAACAAATTACACCACGAGCGCCTGTTGCGTTCCGCCCCGTGTTTGCAGATCACGCGGTCAATTGACCTTACCACATCTGCACTAACCTATTTCATTTTTCATCTCGGGGCTGGCAAAGCGTTCCCGACGTCGGTGAAATACTTTTGAGGCTTGACCGTAAAACGTGAACTGCCAACTTCCTGCACATTAATAACAATCTCCGGGCTAACGCGCATTTGCACGCAACATTATTAAGTGCGCAGCTATCAAAACCTTTGAACTTTTTTTTTTCTCTCCTTCCCATGTTGAGTCGCAAAACGACACAACAGCTAAACACGGGCCATCTGTTACGAAATCGGGCTGGGAAATTCAAAAATGCCTGCTTTGCGGTGCGAGCCGCTGCAGAAACATCAGTGGGAAAAATTAAAATAATAAGCTCGTAATTGCGTACCCTTTAAACATAAAACAAACTGTTCCGTTTACATCCTTGGCTTGTTTTTCTAGGCTCCACTATTTCACATTTAGCGACGTTCACCCGACGCTAAAACGTCGATGGTCATAAAACGGCCGCATAAATCAGACAGGGGATACATATATTACGAGTTTATGCCTAAAAGGTACGTTAATCTCAACTCTACCTGTGCGAGACACTGGTACGCAGAGAGAGGCTTGGCACAAGCGAGATTTGGAAATTGATGGAATTCATGGCAGACCAAGTGTGCAAGATGAAGAGAAAGAATACAGTACACAATCAGGCGATCTCAGTTTCATTCCTAGCTATGGATAACATTTGTATTAACATCTGACAAGAGTGGTGAAGTATGGTTAACCTCCCCCCCACCCCCCCCCATGACCAGGGGAAACCTTCACCCAGGAGGAGAATTGATGTGCACTGCGCCCTTATTAACGTCAGTAAAGCGTTCAACCACATTTAAATTGGTAAAACATAATCTTGCAGTAAGGCGAGGATTTTTTTATTTCCATTGGCACAACAACTTCACATATATTTTATACTTGACTGTTTAAACGTTAGTGTATATTTTAAACAATACAAAAATATAACAATTCTGTTTTCCTCTCTGACCAAGGGCCACTACCTGTAACATTTGATTATATAACCATATTAGTTTTGTATGTCTGCGCAGACTCATAAAAAAAATGAAGGAAAATGCAAAGAATGACATTTTTATTTTCCAATGTTACAGAAAGTACATTTTCCGTGCCAACACGCTTGACGTTTCCACATATTCCCTGCGTATAAGAGGCTCGCGAGTTGAAAGAACGCTCACCTGCAGTGCTACCAACAGCACTGTCCTTTGGGGCCGGTGCTGGTGCTGAACTTAATTCCGAGGCCTTGCCGCTCTCCTCCTTGCCGGATGCACCAACCTCACCCTTAATCTCCGCTGCTTCTGCCGCCACCACCTCTGGTTTTCTGCTGGGAAAAAATATATATGTTATTTCTTTACCATGGGTCTTGCTACGTTGAATATGTTTTTGTGTGCGTTGGGGGACAGATATTAACAGACAAACCCTACACATACGAGGGGGACAACTATATACAGGACTAAGGTCCTCCACCAAACTCTACCCACTCATCTCACTCTACTCCCCTACACACGCTCTCCTACCTCTCCCCCACTCATCTCACTCTACGTGCTCTCCACTCAAGCAACCAGGGCCCTTTTCCTGAAACCCCTCGGTCAACCTTCGGTGGGAAGTCGCTTTTGTTCTCCTCTGCATACTATGGATGGTGACATTGGGGCATGCCGCACCCATACGCAGCACAAATCACAGTAAGCCAGCATGCTCCACCATTCATTCCGAGCACGCACTTCAGCTACGCTTATGCTACGAGTAGTTTGGCAATGAAAAAAAAAATATAAACAAATCTGCATCACGAAAACAAACAGAGCAGCCGGTGATTAATTTTCTTTCGCGTCGACTTTCACTTTCGTGTTTTCATTTGACGCCACAGCGGGCAATTCAAACGTGCCCGAGACAAATGCAACATTGGACGTGGTCAGGAGAGAACTTGAAACCCATTATATTGCTGCAAAATCATTTAAGTGCACCGAAGTTAGCTTTTTTTTTTAACTCTCTCTCGAGTAGTTTTCAATTTGCATTGAGAATTCAAGTAGAAAGTTAGCTATGGAGATGGTGAGGTCACTTCAGAATCCCACGAAAAATACGGACACGATCGGAAAAAATAATAATATTAGTACTGCACACGGAAACAATTCTCTCTCTTCCCTGCCCAATTGCACCGATTAAAATATCAATGTTCTACCAGTGCTACACAACGCCTGAGAACACAGTTTGCAGGTTCTGTGTCTGATGACACAATGTGTTTTGTGAGTAGAGCTCCAACCACTGCCTCCTGGCCTGAATATTTAGTTGCTGTTTCACAAAGGAAATAAATTAAATTCCTCACTCAGAGACTGAATCGTGTAACTATTCAGGGAGTGAATGCTGTGTGTCTGTCTTCATTGTTGTTCTATTAAAACAAAGAAAATCAGATACTGATATTTATTTTTAACCAGGCAAGGCCAACTGAGCTATACACCTCTTTTTCAGAAGTGACCTGGACACAAATGATAGCTCGATAAAGTGGCTTACCACGTGGACATTTATAGCAGCGACGAGACCGGCTCGTGTGCTGGAGCCAGTCAGTCAGAGTGTTGCATCATGAAACTGAGGCACGTGGGGTGGCCTTCATCAAACAATGGATAGAACATAGTTGTTGCTGCTGCTGCTAATCACAATGATGAAACACCGCCACTTCAAGCAAACGCCTTTAAATTTTTATCAATCATGCCACATAGTTTTAAAAGAACAAGGAAAATGTGTGTTCTTTTCCTCTTGTTTCAAACACATTCACCCTTACTCAAGGCCCCTTACAGCTGAGCAGACTGCCACCATTCCCCTGCCGTTGTCAATCAGCACGTGGCATTTGTGGCAGACACCGCCCCGGCTAGTTCACCATTAAACGAGCTCTCTGTGCCTCGAACGGAGTGCGACCATTACAGCCGCTGCCTGGCCAATGTGCCTCTTCGTCGGCTCCAGGTGATGGCTGGTTTATAAGCGAGGCGAAACAACTGGAAAGTTATAATATAGCTGCAAGCGTGACTTTACTTTACATTACGTGAATGAATGTACGTTCAAAAACGCAATCACAGAAATAGACAGGTTTACAGAGACACGTGGATACACTTCCCACATGTGACCATTCACAACACCGCCTCCTGCCACCTTCAGAAAGTCTACCAATCATCAAGATTCTGCATCACTATTCAATTTAAGATACACATTTTGCGTTCTCATATTTGTGCCTTGGTGTAAAGTGGTCTGATCCTTTGGCCTATTGTGTAACATGATCATATCACTGTCTTGAATTGTAAATAATAAATAATCATACGTACAAACCGATGCATGAATCATGACTGTTAAAAATAACTTTCCTCGATGGGTCGGTGCGCATTGGTACGTTGTGGAATATACACGCAGGGAGAACACAAATATATACAGACATATAAACGTATACATGAGCACATACGCAACATTGTAGCCATTAATCCTGTGTTATGGCAGACAGCCAGGCTACAGGCCCAATTAAGCCAGTCCCATCATCATCACCTTTCCTTTGGCAACAAAATGACAACCACTTTGTGGGAAGTCCACTCGTGTGTTCCTACATGGACACATGCCGCCAGCAAAATAATGTGGAATTGCCACCCCCGATTCATGCCTGCCACTCGTGTGGTGACCATGGTGAGACTAGTGCCGTGACTTTCTGAGATATGAAAGAAGTTCAACATACATATACGTACAAGTATTAAAAAAAACCTGGACATAGCATGGAGAAGAATATCTCGGAATGCTGGAGGAGGGGAGCACTATGCGTGAACGCAAAGTCGTGAGCGGTGTATTATAACGCCACTCGAAAAAAAGTGGGGCTTTTAATGACACGCGGAAAGCTTACAGACTTCCGGGAATTCTGGGAAAACCAGCACGGGCAGCCCCACCACCCCTAGGGGACTGCGAGACAGCGTTTCGTGACTGACGGGCAGGTGCGGCGAGGCGGTTGGGTTGGTGTGAATACTTTTTCACCCAACGCCGTTTGAGCGGAGGCACGGTGAGCGGCGGCGTTGTTCCGTTTGAATTACACGAGAAACAGAGGCGCGTAAATTGAATTTATAGAGGACGGCAACGGCTTTTGGAGAACAAAACAGAGTGTTCTCGCGCAACATTGCTTTTGACACCAAAGTCCTCCTTCGGTGCTGTTAACCATACACACACACGCACACGCGCACGCCCCGCGCAAGAACAGCCTCAGCTTCTCCGCAAACGTGAGCATGTGAAACCAATGAAATAAACTCGGGACCGGGAGATTTATAGGAAATCTTTCGGATAAGTCCACCAGACACGGCTAAGAGTATGGTTTTCATTATTGATAGTGCAACTGATTTTGTACCACCGCACGTAATTTAGCACAAAGAATGCGTGCATGTGCACACAATGAGACATTCCATACAAAGTGTAATGGTAAACATTACACGTGAATCAATGTTTATGTGTGTGTATATGTGCACTCAGTATGTATTTGCAATAGATATGACTAATCTCTGTCGATCTTTTTTTCTCAGACAATATTGAGAGTGCTGAGAGATTAGAGGGCTTGACTCACAATCGAAAAGTCGAGAACTGATGTCGCCCATCATCTCCGCAAGAGTCCATAAACTGGGTACCACTGCACAGGAAGCGGGCAACAGTCATCTTCGAGATAGACAGTGACCTCTCCATGTGAACGTGGAATCGTTACCAGTAGCTGAAGGCCTAAACGGAGGCAGGAGCCACGCGTACTGCTTGTTTGAGCAGATATTTTCTGACTTTCATCCGAAAGACTGACAGGTCTTTCTCCCCTTAGCGACAACAACTTGAACCCAAGTCCCTGGTTCTACAGGCCAACGGCTCAATCCTCAGGAAGTTGGGCGTCTTTGGTTTGTAACTCCCACACGTATCGGCAAGGGCTTCCTACTCGCTCTCCGTAACGGCATGCTTTTGATGCTGTGCCCAAAATACACAGCCGCGGCGGGCCGCGACCCCTAAGCACCACTGCCACCTCATTAATTTGATTAAATTACGGCAGAAAATAAGCCCATTACCACGGCTGATGGGGGGGGGGGGGGGGAAGTAAAAATGGGCCCTCGCAGCGCTGCAACTCAGAAATTGATGCCACGTGTCGAGGTTTCGTCTGGACTCCAGGAGGAGGAGGCCTTGAACGGCCCAAGATGTGGACGGACGGACGTCCATGGAAAATGCCAAGACCCGGCTCTCGTCATCGACACACGCACGCACGTCCAGAGCCGTGGCCGGCAGAGAAGTTTTTCAAAGGCAGCCGGCGCGGGAGACATGACAAACGCGATGCATTATCAGTACCCCTGTATCTGGCCCTGCAGACTGTCAGGGGGGTTTTGGCCAACGGGGAAGTAGACGGGGATAAAAAAAAAATCTAGAAAGGAAAGAGTAACGCAGTGTCAGCCGCTGATCCTCCGATCCTCTGTCAAGGCGGCTTAAGGGCCTGCATCGAACGCCGCGCTGGTTTATTGTCCAGCCGCAAACCCAGATGGATTATCAAGGCTCGATATGACAGGCTGCGAGTTACAGCGGCCAGTGGAAAAATGAGAAGAGTGTAAAGAAAAAAAACACAGAACAATAACCAGTAAACAAATATAAAAAAAAGTGAAAAGCGTGCACATTGCCCGGGTTTGGGATTCATCGATCAGCTCGTCAGAGTGCGGACGGACGAGCGCGGCAGGTTTTGACAACCAGAGCCTCTGGCCACTCGCAGAGGGCTGGCACATGAGCTAAGCTCTGCATGTCAGCCGGGGTCATGGTGCGCACGGTTTGTGCCCCACCTCCTGCCGACCGTGCAACTGGCTATTGGAAGGAAAGGGCCGTGCAGATCTCCTGGCACACTGAGGTGGCAATGTGCCACCTGTGCGAGCCACCTGGATGGATATTAGCGTCAAATACATCCGACGGTGCCAATCCAAATGAGGGCATTTGAACGGATCGTTTATTCTGTTACGTTTACCTTTGGATTTTTCTGTACGTTTAAAATGTCGGTGGGTCATTTTTCAAAGGATTTTTTTCGTGGCAGCTAAATTCCACATTTGTTGTTGCCGTTGACGTTTTATTTTTTTCCGTGCCAGAAATCCTTTTAAAGCAGCTGAAAGAATGACCACGCGTTTAAAGCGGGTTGGGGATAACTGCACGCAGAAATACAGTCAAAGCCCATGCCAAACAATGAGCTTTTGTGACTTTCATTCTAAATTATTATTACTACCAGTTGTTAACTTAAACTGCTAATATAAAAATGAATATTATCAATGCCGATGATATTTGCAGTCTTTCATGGTACCTCAAATGATTGAA